AAATTCGGAACATTTTTTTTTCTTTTCATGATGACAGTGGTGAGGCTCTGCCTCCCCTGACTGCACGTCCCTGCTGCCAACATTACCATCTTGCCCAATTTTATTTCCTCCACGGAAGCCAACTGATTCAGTGTCTTTGGGTCAGCTTAGCCGCAAAATCTGAAATCTAATGTTCCGAATTTAGGTTACAGGAGGTTTGTCCTCTGTCAAAGGAACTAGGAGTCCTTACACGTACTTAGAGCAAAGTCATTGAACATCGAATATGAGGCTATGGATTGATTTTAAAAGCTTTATTTTAGCAATATAAGCACCTCACTTTCACTCCCTCAATCACACAAAGCACCATGTTCCAAGAAGTATTTATTGCTGTTAGCCAAGTGACGAAAGGGACAGAGATGTTCAGGGAGAGTTCTTTGAGATGACCTTCAGTGGAGTGGAAGATGGGAATTCAGACTTCTTTCTTCAACTCTCTTTTTATAGCTTTCACACTAGCTTGGATTGATAACTGATGACTCTTCATCAATTTGCAGAGTCATCTTTGTGAGGGTCATTAGGCTTGTTCCTGTTTGGGCCCTTATCATGACCACTAAGTAACCCCATGGACTGCAAGAAAACCTACTGGAATGATGGATTCCAGAATTCCTTATCCCTTCACATCCCAGGGCACCTTGGAATCTCCCTGAATGGCTTCTCTTTAGGCATGAAGAATCAGATGTCACTTTCAACAAGTGCAATGATTCTACTCTTTAATGTCGGCCCATTAACATATTTTATAATGAGGGATGGGTTTCTTATGCTTTCAGATAAAATGAGAGTTCATGCCTGTAACGTGGCTTCTTTGGAACAGCAGAACGTCTGGGAATAACCCAAGTCATAAGGAATAATGACAATTCTGACAGTTGATCCTCTCTGTGTCTGTAGAGATTCTCAGTCCTCCAGGTCACGGTTGTCCCAAAGGTGTTTTTTTCTGGAGGCAACTGAACTTTCTTGTCTTTTTCTTATGAGGACATTTCGTTTCTCATCCAAGAAGCGTCTTCAGATGTGACAGGATGGTGGAGAATGGAAGGATTTATATTCCTTGCAGACAGCTGGTCATTTGAATTCTTTAAGAGAGTCTTCGAGGCCACTTGGAGGTTTATCTGTGTCTTCAGGGTCACCTGAGTAGTGCTCCTGGTTCCTGTTGTCTGCAGTCCCCCCCCCCTTTCAACACTCCTCTAAAACGGGGCAACTCAAGGCCCGGGGGCCGAATCTGGCCCATGGGGTTCTTAGATTTGGCCCACATGTCCTCCCTGCAAACAGCAAAGGACTGGCCTGCGGTACCTCTGCCAGTGAAAACAGCTCAGGAGGATGACCCAAGCTCCGTTTTCACTTGCAGAGGGCTGCAGGAGGCCATCGCGGCCGAAAACACCCAGATGAGCCGCACACATCCTGAACTCCATTTTCAACGGCAGAGGGCTGCAGGAGGCCATCACAGCCAAAACGGAGCCCCGATGAGTGACATCGAGCTGGTCACACCCACCTTGGCCACAGTCTCCAAGGTCAAACAACCCTGATGCGGCCCTCAATGAAATCGAGTTTGACACCCCGAGTTTGACGCTCTAAAAGGATGCAAATGGCCAGCTGTCTGCAAGGAGTACAAAGCCTTCCATTCCCCACTATCCTGTCAGAGCTGAAGAAGCTTCTTGGATGAGAAGCGAAATGTCCTCAAAAGAAAAAAACAATGTCCAGTTGCCTCCTGAAAAAGCACCTTTGGAACGATCCTCTCTGTGGTTGGTAATAGCTCTGGATGCCAGATGTGCAAAGCTAGCACAACACAGAGCAGGGGGATGCGGTACTGATTGTAGTGTTTGGCGCAAAAGTAGGGTAATTGGAATGGTAAGCTCCAGCCACTAAGATCAAAATCTTGGGATGAACAATGAGGTTTCTGTTTCTGCTAATCTCCCAAATCTTGTTTCCCTACGTAGGTGGAATTCTACATAAGTGTAATTCCTATGTAGGTTTGCAAATATTAATTTGTGTCTTGATTACATGCTTTCAAAATCATTTAAACATGTTATTTTGAATCTTCTGTTTCTTGTGGCTGAGTACTCATTGTGAGGAAGAAGGGAAATGCCCTTATGGGGGGAAAACACTTTGAAATGTTTGTGATCTGAAGGCAATCAACTCCCTTCAAATATGCAGTATGGTTACAATAGTATTGGTCTATTTTGTAAAGCTGTAGAAATACTGAGATGTGTGAAACTACACACATCTTTTATTTGAGATTAAAATCAGAATATGCACATAAATATTTGGGGCCAAGTCCTTGAGTGCTTGTTTTTCTCCATCACACAATGGGCTCCCTGTGAGAAGAGACCATTATATTTTAAATTATAGAAAGCCAAACATTCCTTGAATAGGAATTCATTTAGAAGAGCATTCATGAGCACAACAAAGTACAAAAGAAATCCTTCATATCATGGCTTAGTCCGTTTAGGCAGTCCTCAACTTATGACTGGTCACTTAATGGCTGTTCTAAATTATGATGACCCCCCCCCAAAAAAAAGATGACCTGGATTCTGACATCTGGGGCCCCCAGTCACATGATCACATTGGGTACTTGGCAACCAGCTGCTTACAGTGTCCCATAGTCACATGACAGTTATTTACATTTCCCCCAAGGGAAGGCAGCATTTTCTTCCAGTTTATGGCAAAAAAGTCCCATAGTGAACAGTGGGTTTACTTAATGACCATGACATTCCCTTAGCAACAAAAGTCATAAAATCAGAAATGGTCACACGGTGTCCCACTTAAAGACTATCATGACTGAATAATCATAATTGTAGGCTAAATTGCAGTTGTAAGTTGAAGACTACCCATCATCAACCTAAGGAAACTTTTGCAAGTGTTGTCCCCTCCAGATAATGACATAAAGCTATGGCCAGCAGTGGCATCTACTTGGTGATGACATCATTCTATTTGAAAATCACCTTCCTGTTCCTAGTTTCTAGACTTGGAGAGCAGAGATGTCCAACCTTGGCAACTTTAAGACTTGTGGAATGCTGGACAGGTGAAGTTCCCTTCTTAAGTCTTTGAACACCCATTATGGAAACATGCAGCTCTCACAGAGAAATGCTAGATTTCCAGACTCCAAACTCCTGTCAGCTCAGTCAGGGATTAAAAATCTGCCTACTCTTGTTTATATAGGTTCTTTATGCAAAGAAAATTTGAAGTGGTTTCCTCCACATTCCCTTTGCTACCCCAATGCTAGGACCTCGTGTAAGTTTCTGAGCTTGGTCTCTCTTCCCAACTCGCAAATTAGTTTCCTTCATTCCTTCATGTGTGTTCGTGTGCACACAACACAATACACACACACACACGCATGCACACACAGCCTGTCCTTTGGGGCAAAGTTAGTTAAATATAAGCTGAAGCCAGTAAACATGTCTATGATGAAGATTTCTTCATTTTATTTCTTCCCAAAATTTCTACCTTTCTTTCTGTATTAGAAGTTCCTGCATTGGCCATTTAGCCTCTTCCTTTAGCCCTTTCCAGAATAACAGTTTAGTTTAGTTTAGTTTATACTTTATTTGTATGCCCCCCTTTTCCCTGGGGGGACTCAGGGCGGCTCACAATTGGAGGGAGGGGAAAGACAGACAAGTTACAAACATAAAACCATACATCGTTAAAAAACACAACAGTCATACCATTCGAGTGGGGTTACAAATCTCTAGCCCCAGGCCTGTTGGAACAGCCAGCTTTTAAGGGCTATGCGGAAGGCCTGGAGGGTGGTGAGGGTGCGAATCCCCAACAGAATTGGAAGGGACTTTGGAGATCTTCTAGTCGAACCCTCTGCTCAAGCCCTTGCTTTCCAGCTTTCCTACAAACTACTGGGATACCTCTGGACATGTTCATGTTTATGGGTGAATTGACAGTGAGCCTTGAAAGGCAGCGTGGGAGTATCACTATCTTGAGCAAAGTTTTTCTCAGGCATTCTCCCTCCTCAAAAGTGCACTTAATAAACCTGCATACCCTAAATTTAGTTCCCGGTACAAAACAGAATTAATAAAATGTATTCAAGAAGGGATGAAAAGATTGTAAAACACTTTAATAAGGCAGAGAAATGTTTTGATCCTTAGAAATGTGCAAATGTTTTTCAAAATCAGAGAAACGTGTCCACACAGTTATCTTTTTCTCTGGCTCCTTGTAAGGGTAGAAGAAACCTATGATTGCCAAATTCTGTCACCAGTCCTGCTGGTGCAGTGTTTCTCAACCTTGGCAACTTGAAGATGTCAGGACTTCAACTCCCAGAATTCCCCAGACAGCATTCATCTTCAAGTTGCCAAGGTTGAGAAACACTGTGCTAGTGGCTTCGTTGATTCGATTTCATGATCTCAGTACATTTTTTCTTTGACATTTAATTGTAGAAAAGTTACCTGTATTTTAATGTTCTTGCCGTAGAACAGGGGTGTCAAACTCATGGCCCATGAGCTGGATGCATCACGTGCTGGCCACGCCCATCCCTGGTTTAGTGAAGGGGGGAATATTGCGATACGTCACGTGACAACAATGTGTCATCGTGAGTTTGATGCCCCTGCCGTAGAACCTCTGTAAACACAAGCCTCTTGTAATACCTGAAATGAAAATTGAGCACACTTGGAGAAGTGTGCTTAGGGCAAGCAGGCACCACCGCACGGGGCTGGTGGCATCTGAGATCTGGATTCATTGGCAATCTTCCAGTATCTTTCTTTCAAAAGGAAGGCAGCGGTTTTCGGTTGCCGTTGGCGCGTGAAAATCCCTTTCTTGTTACCCATGACGCGTGTCACTCCTACAGACGGGAAAGGACACCACAAAGCAAATGGATATTATTGAAATAGTAGACAAATCATGCTTAGCTGCAAACAAACCTGAATCAACATAGCAGACTGGCCAGTCACCATAGTTTCTTAGTTTAGTCCCTGGTTTCTTTCCCTCACCATTTACTGCTCTTAAGGACTTGGTGAGGTACACAAATAAATTAGGAATAAGCCAGAGAAACTGCATTCCTGTGTCCAACTTGACTCAAAAAACCAGGCTTATAATTAATCATGATTAAAGGATTCACCCCATAAACAAACTGCTGCATTTTTATCCCCCCGTTTCTCTGAGAAACATCCGTTCATGGATGCTTTGTTGCCTGCTCATTTTTGAGCTGCTGTTTTCAATGCTTGATTTTTTAAAAATCTGAAACTTGGTGGTGTTGGGAGGCTTACGTTCTATACAGACCTTTTTTGGAGAAGTGTAGGGGAGCAGAACCAAAAGAGAAATAGTAGAGGCCCAGCTTGTTTTCTGTTGCAGAAATGGGGCTTAACGATAAGCTAGTTTTGGGTTCAGATAAACTAGGCTTAAGGAAAGCTAACTTGCAAGTCTTGATTCGTTTGTCATTCAGGCATGTCTTCCATTTATTACTTAACTTGAATCCCAAGTTTGTGTGATATGGTAATCTGGCATACCATGTTGTGCAAACACCTAATGGTTGAGCTCGCACAACATGGTGGATTAGAATAAAATGGGGTTCAGTAGTTTGCAGTTGACTACGATATACGCTATGGCAAGTTTAACACATTGTCCTAGGCCAGGGGTGTCAAACTCGATTTCATTGAGGGCCACATCAGGGTTGTGTTTGACCTTGGAGGGCCAAGGTGAGCATGACCAGGGGGTATATGGTCAGCTTGATGTCACTCGTCTTGGAGGTAGCTGTGCTGGCCTGAGCTCTCTGCCAGCAAAAATGAGCTCATGAGCTCCATTTTCAACCAGGACGGCCTCCTGCAACCCTCTCCCAGCATAAACAGAGCTTGGGAGGGCTGTGAGCGGCCCTCCTGAGCTCCATTTTCACGGGCAGAGGCACCGTGGGCTGGTCCTTCGCTGTTTCCATGGCGGCCCCGTGGGCCAGCTCTAAGCACCCTGCGAGCCAGATCAGGCCCATGGATGTTGAGTTTGACACCCCTGTCTTAGGCCCTAATATGCTTTTCAGTTAGTGTGATGAAAGGGCGGTAAAGCACCATTTCAAATGATAGCTTGATATTGGCTTACTGATTGCAGCTTTGGCTTAGAGGCTGGGCTAACAAAATATATTGTTATACTCACTTAAGATATTATGCCCTGTGAAAAAAGCTAGTGAGTCATGCCAGTTTAAAAAATTCTGATTTGCTGCTATAAAATGAACCGATAGATCTAGATCAGTGATGGCAAAACTTTTCGGCACCGAGTGCCCAAACCGGAATGTGCGTGCATGCGCACGTGTGCCAGAGCTCTGGAAACCTAAAGATAGCTGGCCGGTGCGAATGCCTGTTTTTTTGGCTGTTTTTCAGGGTATTTTGAAGTAGTTTTTCAGCCATTTGTTTGAAAACTGTCTGAATATGTTCCAAAAAAAACAGCCTGGAAAACAGCCTGAAAAATGTCCCAAAGAATGTCCCGAAAACGGCCTTGAAAACACATCTGCATGCCGGAAACCAGAAGAGCAGCTGGCAACTGTGTGCATGCCCACAGAGAGGGGTCGTCGTGCCACCTCTGACATGCGTGCCGTAGGTTCGCCATCACGGATCTATATGGACCTCGTCTGCACATCACACTAAGTAAAAAACAAATTACGAAATGGCCCAGTGTAATGCATGTACTGACCAGCACCAAACAATATTATAGTGTAGCAATGCAAGCTTCATTATAAACAACGATTGCACTTCACAGTCATATGTTTAGGAAGCGGCACAAAATATTTCATGACTCTTGAGGAGCAACTGGATTGGGGGCTTCTAAGCCTCCAGGTTAGAGGCTTACTGTATCTAACAGAATTGATAAAAGTCTTGCCAATGACACTATAAGCAAGTTATCATGGAAATATCTTTGCAAGTGGTTGAGATTTATTAGTTTTTTCCTGCCTCGTCACTGAAATGTTTATGTAAGTATTTCTGTTCCAGCCCAAACATTCATTTTAATAAATCCAACCCTAAGCATTTGGCAGGACAATGTGGCAGCTTTTGTCGAATAAGCCCTTACCTTGTTCTGTCATAAAATCGGCAAAATTCCAGATGAGCTCTCCAATCACGTACTCCTCCCTCTTTTGGTCTAAGACAGCATGGTACTCCTTGAGCACAGCTGCCTGGTATTCCTCAGAGAACATGAGAGGGGGGTCCTGCAGACACCAGAAAAGCAGGGAGGGGTGAGCATGAGTCCAACAAAATAACAATGTGTATCCTCAAGATATACTCTTGAAGTAAATGGCAACAGAGCCCGATCCAGCTCCTAGAGTAATCTATGAGGATTCAGAAAAACCACTTCATTAGTACAACACACTTAACCTGATACCTGCATTTTCCCATCTTCTGCATTTGAACAATAGCAATAGCACTTAAGACTTATATACTGCTGCACGGTGCTTTACAGCCCTCTGTAACCCATTTACAGAGTTGGAAGGATGGAAGGCTAAGTCAACCTTGAGCCTGGTAGGATTTGAACTGCCAAACTGCAGGCAGTTGGCAGTCAGCAGAAGTAGCCTGCAGTACTACATTCTAACCATACAATGGACTCTAAACTAATTCAAGGGCTGGATGTGTACAGCACCCTAAATCACAAAAAACAATAGCCAAGCTTAGAATGTTGTTGCAATTGCAGTTGCTGTGCCTCTAATTATGGCCTGGTGAAAGTAGTATCTGTGAATATTTAGCTCTGCCCCTTGCTTAGTGCAAGATCTGTGATGCAAAATACACATAAAATATCCTTGACAATGATGCTCCAGTCTTTGTTAAAACACCCCCAGCAATGGAAAGTAACTCCATATAAATGTATTTCACATAGAACCTCTTATTGGTATTACATTTCTCCTATGATTAATCCAACTGTATATGTGTGTATTTTGTGTAAGAGTATGGTAGATGGAATATCACTTAGATTTATATACCGCTTCATAGTGCTTTTACAGGCCTCTCTAAGTGGTTTACAGAATCAGCATATTGACCCCAAGAATCTGGGTCCTCATTTTACAGACCTCGGAAGAATGGAAGGCTGAGTCAACCTTGAGCTGGTGAGAATCAAATTGCCAACTTCCAGGCAGCCGGAAATCAGCAGAATTATCCTGCAATGCTGCATTTTAACCACTGTGCCACCATGGCTCTTAGAGCCGAGGTGGCGCAGTGGTTAAATGCAGCACTGCAGGCTACTTCAACTGACTGCAGTT